TCCAGACAATAAATAAAGATCATATACACCCAAGATTCTAATCTGGTGGAGCCAAGCCATCTACAATTGTAGGTGGTAAAAATATCTGAAGTCGAGGCACATTCCTGCCCAAGTATCAGAGGTAATCCTTGAAATTTACTCATCTGTGTTTAAATCTGTAATCTCCTACATCTGGGGCCTCCTGTAACTCTGTGGATCAAACTGCAGACAACCCTGCCATGAGAGGGCTAGGGATAAATCTTTTGGAGAACAGCCTGGAATATATGGCTTAAGACCTTCCTGGTGATATATCTCAGTCATATCTTATACTGGCTGATAACCCAACATTGCCTGGGTATTTATTTATAAGGGGGGAAATGTCCGGACCAAACATAATTTCTAATGTTGGATTTTCCCCCTTACCAGAGGGAGCCCCCTTGTAGAGTACTGTGAAGCCGTTACCATGGCAACTCCACTGCAGTGTACAGTAGAATCCATTTTACAGCAGTAGAAGCCATTTTATGTCACAACAGGCTGAATCTTAACAGAACACACACACCGAGGGGTGTTAGGGGTGTCTTACCCCCACAGTATTTTTTCCAGAGAGTAAGTCATCTGTGTACCCAATTTGGTTGAAATTGCTCGAGGCATTCTAGAATTATGCTGGGGGGGAAAACACATACACAGATTGATTTTTGCTCTTTTCTCTGACTAAAATAAAACAAGTCTCAAGCATATGAATGGTGACAATGGACACTGCCCATCAACTGGACCCTGCTCTCATTGTACTTATCCTTGCAAGAGAAAAGCACGGAAACTCACAATCTGGGGGAAACAGTTTTCCAAGCCTCATTGCAATCTACCCATGTGTCAGCTTCATATTAAGCATGTTAAAGATGAGTATAAAGTCATGGATCCCAGTTGCCAGTATGTCCTAGTCCAAGTAACCCAAAACTGATTCATCAGTCTCAACTGAGCAAAGAGTCCTTGGCCACAACATCTATTTTTCTTATGGGGAGAACAAATCTGTCCAGAACTAATGTTGGAACAGTCAGGAACTCGAATAGTTCCAGATAAGACAATCACTCCCTCTTGCTAGGACTGAGGCTTAGGTTATTTTTACTCATGCAGTTTCTCACAGCTTCAAGAACTAGGACTTATATAGCATCTCTGGTTTGGAATGGCAATGTACAATTTAATATCAGTAATATTCTCTCTCTCCCTCCCTCCCTACCTCCCTCTCTCCCCCTCTCCCTCTCCCTCCCTCCCTCCCTCACACAATACACACCAAAACAGATGTCCCCTCCCAGGATGTTCATGTAGTCATTAAAGAGCAATGAGAAAGAGCCCTCTGGTATTTCATATATATTCCAGTAGGCAACTAGGTACAGAGTGGTGATGCCTTCCAGAGGTTTCGGAAAATTCCCAAGTGCTTACAGGAAGCCATTGAGATACATTTCCGCCTGCCACTTCTACAGTGGTGGGACAACAGTTGTAGGCAACAGTAATGTGTAGCTTGACCGGAAAGTAATCAATCTGATCATGGCCAAAAACTAATAGTAATGTCTCCCATTTTCAGATCCACACACCATTTGTCCTGATTTAAACTGCTAATCACCAATATATGACTAGGGATTGACATAATCTGGGACATGGAAACCTAAGTAGCACTGGACCTCCCTCATTCCTAAGGCATTGGTGTTAAAATGCTTAATCATTTATAGCATAAAGGACTCTGGCACAGTAATGATGTCTACTGCAAGTTTTCTGTCAAGAAGTCTCACAACTGGTATGACTGCTGCTATATTTAACTTCTAGGTATATAAAAACTTCATCTGAGCTTCTTCTCCAGCTGTCCCTTAATAATGAGGAAATGTTAGTGTCTGTCAAAAAAAGGGCCTTGTTTGAGGAAGTGCAACCTCCCCCCAAAAGCTCATTTGATGCTAAAGTTATGAACTTTGGGGCAACAAATCAAATCTTTGTCTTTATTTCTCAGGTATTTTAGGAACCATTTTGGTGTTAGAAGGTAACTGTTTTCGTGATTCTTTACTATGATTTTATACTTTTTAGCGATTACTATAGCTCTGTTGTACTGTTCCCTAAGAATGTTTTAATTCTGTTTTTTGATTTAAAAAAATATATGTTAATATTGCTTTTATATTTACTTTTTTATAACATGGGTAGTACAAACACTGGCCTACAGGACATGAGATTTCTTCCTAGTCTGTTCTCAGAATGAGTGCCAGGAAGAGGTGGTATTCAGCCAGTTCTCTCTGGTTCAGGCGAACTGGTAGTGGCGGCTGCAGGAGGCTCCGCCCACCCACCCCAACATAATGCGCAATCACTGCACATGCGCAGAAGGTGATGTGCATGTACAGACATGGTGCATGCACTCACATTTGCGAACTGGTAGGGAAGGTAGGAAATTCCACTGCTGGTGCCAAGGTACCTTTTAGGGGATGGCAGCTTGGAGACAAAGGAACCTACCTTCTGGTTGTCCAATCACTACTCCCTCTGAAGTTGGTATGACCAAAGGGCAGAACGTTTTTTTCCCAACAACAGCAGAGAATCAAACAGCTCTAGAAGTAGCATAACAACAACGACTGCAGGCTTTCAAATTTGATCCTTTAAAATGCCAAGACATTGTCTCACAGATAAACAAAGTGGAGCCTTGGAGATGTTGCTTTCCAATCATGGTCACTGGTTTTATTTTTAGCTCCAGCAATGTGCCAAAGATAGCTGTGTCAGTTCTCCATATTTAGTAACCGTGACCACAGCACATTGGAGGAGTAAGCTCAGGGTCGTGCCTCTGGTGTCTTTCCATATTTTGGGTAAGTTGCCCATCTATTAGCGAGTTCTAGTAATTAAAAAAAAAATGTTATCTTATTTATATGTTCTGAGGGAAGCAAAGACCTGCCTGACAGTCTAATAGATTTCTTAAGTCATTTTTTGAAAGATTAGCATGGCTTTAATAGTTTTATTGCTTTAGCAGTTTTCAGAAAGCACTATAAGTAGATTAAATGTGAAAGGCAAAGGGATATTATTGAGGTGAACTGTGATTCAGTTTAGATTGCTTGACTTTTACAAATAGAAGTATTAAAGTTAGGCTAATATAAAAAGCAGATTAAGAAATCTATTAGACTG